TGGAAAAAAGGCAAGGAATGGATATTCCAAGTAGTAGGAAAGGCTCGAGCAAGGACATTCATAGAAGGATAGAAGAGAACGTCCTGCATTCGTGACATGAGGAGCAGCTAAGTAACTTTAGAGACATGGAAGGTCCAGAGGAACGGGGGGTGATGGAGGGGGACACGGGAGGGACCAGGTCCTGAAGAGTCTTAGCGGTCATACTAAGGAGATTTTCACTTTATTATTTATTTATTGTTGCTGCTTTGTTATTGTTATTATTTTAATAGCCATGGAGAATAGCTGAAGAATTTTAATTATGGAGAACGAATGCACCATTTAGGGAAGAGATCTTGTCATATTTTTCTGTTTTGTTTTCTACTTGAGCCTCAAGTACACAATAAGAATTTAAAATATATTGTTGAATTAAAGAATCAAATTTTACAAAATGGTACCTCATCATGGACTGTTTCAGTTTGCTACACAATTTTGCTAGTAGCTTTGACATAAAATAAAGAATCATTTTTAGATTATATAAAGGAAATGCCCTATCTACGTAATGACATAATTTTAACAACTGAATTTTCTTTGGTCAATATTAACTCTAGACCTTTTTTATGAAGTTTATCTAAAAGAAACATAGAAATTATTCTGAATTTACATGTCTATCATCTAGGAAAATATTGTGTAATTTTATCAATAGAATTTTTAAATATCCAAAGAAAACTTACAAATTTATATGCTGTCCGTACAGCAGGAGTTGCTTTGGTCACTGCTGTGTTGAATAGTGCACCTCCTTTCTGCAAAAGAAAAACAAAAACACATTTCTAAAACTTTTGGCCAAATTCTCCCAAAACAAAGCATTATTAGTAGTATAGAGAAAGAGCTTTACTCACAGTTAAACAAAAACCTATAAAAATTATTTCATGTTTAATGTTTTCAAGTTTTTATATACAATAATAATTTCAAACAAAATGTAAACTTTCTACTCTGCTCTTTTAGTTGGTATAATACATCATTTAAAAATCATTTCATCTTTGTAGTTCAGACAGACTTGAGCAATATAACCAGCAATATGCACATATTTAAAGCTTAATAAAAAAGAAATACAATGTTTATCAATTGTTTTAATGTTGAGTAACAGTCTCAATGTGTCAAAGACAGTTTGTGGGTTTTTTTTAATTTTTAATTTTTTTATTGAAAAATAATTGATTAAACATATTTGTGGGATATAGAATTAAATATCAATACCTGGGCACAATGTGTGAGTATCAAATCAGGAAAATTAGCATGTTCATCATTATAGAACATAATCATTCCTTGTGTCCATTAACCAATTTCTCACTAATCCCCTCCCCCTTTTCCCACCTATCGTAACCACAGCTCTGTTCTCTCTTTCTGAAAGTTCAGTGCATTATTGTGATTGTTGTTTCCTTCTTTCCATCTCTCTTTTTTGGAAAAGACTTATATATATGTAAAATCATATTAACAAAACCACATTACCAGAAATTATAAAATTCCCATCAAATCCTACTACTCCACTTAAATCCTTGTTCTGGAATACAATATAAGGTGACAGTAAAATCTTGCTTTTCAAAACAAGACACTTATCTCTGGACAAAAACTTTCCATTTTAAAATTATCTTTATGAATATCAATAAATATAGGCATAAAACAAAAATATTTAAAACGTGAGAAAATACACAAACATTTCAAATGCTGCAAATAAACAGCATAAGCATAAAAGCATACTTTTAGTGAACATTTCTCCATATATATTAGGGTGAAAGAAGAAGAAACTTTGAAGGCTTATTATTACCTTGACTGTGTGCACCCATTGCTGATATGACCTTGGGTTCCCTGGAAAATATAAAAATTACATGCCAGGCGTATTTGATCAAAAATAAATCCATAAGCCAAAATTCATCAAGAACTAGTATTTCCAGCATTTTAGTAGACAAACTGTCTTAATGTTGTAATGAAGCAATGGTGTAAGAGAAGCAATGGCACCATAAGAAGTAACAAATTGCTCTAATAATAAGGAACAGGGTAATTAGCACCTTCTAGAAATAGACGATCGCTTTTCCTTCATTCACATATGAAGCTAATACATTATTCTATCTTCTTTCATTCAATATTA